GCTCTCGGTCCCCTCCTTCAGGCTGAGAAGATCAAAAAGAAGCGCAACACCCTGTTTGGCACCTTCCACGTGGCCCACAGCTCCTCCCTGGACGACGTGGATCACAAGATCTTGACGGCCAAGTGAGTTTGTGCTGCGGATCATCTCCCCCCCCAGGCAGCCTTGGCGGTGGGGGCGTGGCCTGCCCAGTGGGGGGGAGCCCAGGCAGGGACCCCCACTCGCCCGTCAGGCTGTGACCCACAAAGTGGCAGCAGCGACGCTTGGAAGGGGGGGAAGAGGAGACGGGCTTTATGAAGTTTGCCATGGTTACTAAGCGAATCATTGCGATTGTTAGGCGAATCATGTGGTCATTAAGCGAAGCCAGCTTCCCCTGTTGACTTTGCTTGCAGGAAGCAGCCGGCAAGGTTGCCAGTGGCGGTCACGTGACTCCGGGAGGCTGCCACCGTCTTAAATAGTGGTAGTCCTCGGCTTACAACCACAGTTGGGCCCAGAATTTCTGTTGCTAAGTTGTTCAATGAGTTTTGCCCGATTTTATGACCTCAATACATGTCAGTTGCCAGTTGTGATCAACCTCCATGGGGTGCTGCAACGGTCGTGTGAGGACTGGTCCTAAGTCACTTTATTCAGTGCCCTTGTAACGTCAAATGGTCACTAAACGAATGCCTGTAAGTCGAGGATGACCTGTAGTGTTGCCTGGGGGGGGGCAGGACCCCATGACAGTTGTGCTGGCCGGCCTGGACTCTTCCGCCCCCCCCCCCCGGTCCCGCCCTTGTCTTGATCCCCCTCTGCCCCCCCCCAATACAAGATACCTGAGATGCAGATAACTTGGCTGTTAACATCTCATGATTGATGTTGATGGCTTTTATTTAGTATTCTGTGACGATCCCCAAGTGCCGAACCTTTTGGTTTAGGATGATTCTGTTCTATGACGATTATGATCATGATTTATCACTTGCCGTTTATACGAACACTGAGAGCTTCTGCACCGGAGGGAAATTCCTTGTGTGTCCAGCCACACTTGGCCAACAAAGAAACCAATTTCTATATTTCATATTCTATTTCTATTTCTATTGTATATTCCATATTCTATATTATTCTACATTCCACATTCCGTATTCTATATTATTCTATATTATTCTATATTTTATGTTCTATATTATTCTATAGTCTCTGAAATTTCATTTTAATGTATGCTGATAAGTGTATATTCACAGTGTCAATAAAGTTATTATTCTGTTCTGTTCTCTTCTCTTCTCCTCTTCTAATTCTATTCTATTCTGTATTTCTCTTCTCTTCTATTCCTATTCTCTTTTATTCCTCTTCTCTTCTCTTCTATTCTGTATTTCTATTCTATTCTATTCTATTCTATTCTGTATTTCTGTTCTATTCTATTCTATTCTATTCTATTCCTATTCTCTTTTATTCCTCTTCTCTTCTCTTCTGTATTTCTATTCTATTCTATTCTATTCTATTCCTATTCTCTTTTATTCCTCTTCTCTTCTGTATTTCTATTCTATTCTGTATTTCTCCTCTTCTCTTCTCTTCTATTCCTATTCTATTCCTATTCTCTTCTCTTCTCTTCTATATTTCTATTCTATTCTATTCTATTCTATTCTATTCTATTCTATTCCTATTCTCTTTTATTCCTCTTCTCTTCTCTTCTGTATTTCTATTCTATTCTATTCTATTCTATATTCTATTCTATTCTATTCTATTCTATTCTATTCTATTCTATTCTATTCTATTCTATTCTATTCTGTATTTCTCCTCTTCTCTTCTATTCCTATTCTATTCCTATTCTCTTCTCCTCTATTCTATATTTCTCTTCCTATTCTATTCTATTCTATTCTATTCCTATTCTCTTTTATTCCTCTTCTCTTCTGTATTTCTATTCTATTCTGTATTTCTCCTCTTCTCTTCTCTTCTATTCCTATTCTATTCCTATTCTCTTCTCTTCTCTTCTATATTTCTATTCTATTCTATTCTATTCTATTCTATTCTATTCTATTCTATTCCTATTCTCTTTTATTCCTCTTCTCTTCTCTTCTGTATTTCTATTCTATTCTATATTCTATTCTATTCTATTCTATTCTATTCTATTCTATTCTATTCTATTCTATTCTATTCTATTCTGTATTTCTCCTCTTCTCTTCTATTCCTATTCTATTCCTATTCTCTTCTCCTCTATTCTATATTTCTCTTCCTATTCTATTCTATTCTATTCTATTCTATTCTATTCTATTCTATTCTATTCTATTCTATTCTATTCTATTCTGTATTTCTATTCTATTCTATTCTATTCTGTATTTCTATTCTATTCTGTATTTCTATTCTGTTATTCCATTCCACCCCACTCCACTCTCTCTCCTCTCCCTCTCTCTGCGGCCCCCTTACTCTCCTCTCCTCCCTTCCCCTCCAGGCAGGCGCTGAGCGAGGTGACGGCCGCCTTGAGGGAGCGGCTGCACCGCTGGCAGCAGATTGAGCTGCTCTGCGGCTTCCAGATCGTCAACAACCCCGGCATCCCCACGCTGGTGACGGCCCTCAACATCGACCCCAGCTGGATGGGGGGCCCCCCCAGGGCCAACACCTCCCACTTCATCATGACGGACGACGTGGACGACCTGGACGAAGAGATGGTCTCCCCCATGTCCATGCAGTGTAGGTGGAGGCGGGGAGGCCCCAGCTGGGGACAGGCGGGCCTCGGTTTCCCCTTGGCAGGGACTGCCCCCCCTCCTTTGGGTCACTTCTCCTGGACACACCCCCCCCCGAGGAGCCAGTCACACACACACACACACAGCCGGTCCATCCCCATCTTCAGTGGAGGAGGCTTCAGAAGGTTTATGGGTAGTCCTCAACTTACGACCACAGTTGAGCCCAAAATTTCCGTGGCTAAGCGAGACAGTTGCTCAGAGAATTTTGCCCCATTTCATGACCTTTCTTGCCCCGGTCGTTAAGCGAATCACCATAATTGTGAAGTTAGTGACCCGGTTGTTAAGTGAATCTGGCTTCTCCGTTGACTTTGCTGGTCAGAAGGTCACAAAAGGGGATCGATCCCGTCACCCTGCGACGGTCATAAGTATGAACCACTTGCCAAGCTCCTGAATTTTGATCACGTGACCACGGAGAGGTTGCCACGGTCGTTAAGTGTAAAAAAAAAAAAAGGTCATAAGTCGGTTTTCTTAGTGATGTTGTAACTTCGAACAATCACTGAGTGAACGGTTGTAAGCCGAGGACTGCCTCTCCTTCGTCTTAACTCTGAGAAAAGCAGCAGATGAGCAGGCCTCAGCTCCCTTGTGCTTAACCCTAGCAGTGCCCCTGAGCATCCACAGAGTGCTTTTCTCAGTACCCAGTTCAGTTGGGCACCTGCAAGAGGACGCAGAGGGGAGGGGGCTGCAGGTTTGGAAGTCTCGGGGTACAGGTAGCCCCCCCTGGCCCTTTGGGTCTGTCCTGGGGGGTGGGAAGGCCCCCCCCAGAAAGAAGCCAAGCGGGGCGGAGGGGGAAGCCCTCACTGAGGTCCTGAGCTGGGAAGGGCCCCCATTCCCTCCAGGGTCTGGGCTTGGGCGGGGGGCAGGAAGGACCAGGCAGAGACCCCCACGGAGGGGGATCTGGTCGCTGAGCGTCTTGGGGAGCTCCCGCGGACCCCCGAACCGCCGATGCCAATGACGCTTTCTCTCTCCCCGCCTGCCCTCCTCGCTAACGCCAGACATCGCCTCGCTTCTGGGGCACCAGTACGGCGACCGCTCGTCTGTCTGCTCGGAGGATCCGGCCTTCTGGAAGTGCCCCGGTTGGAGCCGTCTTCTCTCGGATTCACTTTCACACACACACACCCCCCAGACTAAACTCCGCCGGCCGAGCCCCTCGGCCTGCCCCACCCCTGGGGGGCTTCTCCTTTCTCGCCTAGCCGCTAATCTCACACACCCCCTCTGCCCTCACCGCTTCTCTCTCTCTCTCTCTCTGCTAACCCCTTCCGGAGGGCAGCGCCCATCGTCGGAACGAAGAACCGCTGGCAGGGGGGGGCAGAAGCCCCGAGAGCAAGCCGGAGGGCCGGGCTGGGGCAGGACGGTGGGGGGGGGCAGGGGTCTTCCCAAGAGAGGCGGCCCTATTCCCTTGATTTCTTTTGCCAGGATAAGTAAGGCAGGCAGAGAACGTGGACACACACACACAGACATACACACACACCCCCTTCCTGGTTGTCTTCCCTTTAGAGCAGGGGTTTCCAACCTTGGCAACTTTTAAGACTTCTGGACTTCAACTCCCAGAATTCCCCAGCTCCAACCCGCCCTGGGGTGCCCAGGCCAAATCTTATCTCCGCAGGGATGATGTTTTAAACCAGGGGTAGTCAACCTTGGCTCTTTTATGACTCGTGGACTTCAACTCCCAGAATTCCTGAGCCAGCTTAGCTGGCTCAGGAATTCTGGGAGTTGAAGTCCACGAGTCATAAAAGAGCCAAGCTTGACTACCCCTGTTTTAAACGGAAGGGAGCCCCCACGGGGAAGGCCCTTCTTGTTCCCATCGGATGGACCCCTGACATCTCCTGCCTGCCTGCTCAGGTGGGCCAGGTGGAGGCAACTGGGAAAAGACGGCCCTTCAAACGACAGGGAGGGAGCCACCACGGGGAAGGCCCTTCTTCCTGGTCCCGCCAGGTGGACCTCCTTCGTGGAGCCGTTCGTTGCCAGCACATTTTCCCACTCCAGAATATCCCCCTTTTCCTGGAAAGAGGTGCAGGAGGGCCCCCGAGACTTTGTCCACCCCAGAGACGAGCATTGGGGCGGGGCGGGCGCTCCGAAGGGAAGAGGGCTGGGGTGGGTGGGGGGAGATGGGGCCGAAGGGTTCTCCCAGCCGGCTGCTTCTTCGCTTCCCAGCAGGGCCCTGATTCTTCCTCGTGTCTTTGGTGCACCGGGTGACCCCTTGTGCCCCGTTTGCATCCCACTTGGGGCACCGTGGGGCTGGGGCCAGTTGTTGACGGGCAGCTGGGTGGCAGATACACTGTCTTGCGTGCTTCGGCCAGGATTTGGGAACGCTCACCGCCCTTGGCTGCCTGCACCACAGGGAGAAGAAACAGGGAGGGCTCCGGGGGGGGGGGGAGGAAAGCCAGACAGCCACTGCCCCCCCTCCACCCCCATCCTCCCTCCTTCCCTCCACCCTCATCCTCCCTCCCAGCAAGACAGACACGAAGGCAGCCCCCTCGTGGACCAGCGCCGTTTGGGGCAGCCTCTCCCTCCCTAACTGGGCCTTCTCTCCTTCTCTCCTCCCAGCTCCCGCCTTGCCAAGCAGCGTCGTTCGCCAGCGCCTGGTGGACCCCCAGCATTCCTTGGGATCGCAGAGGTTGGTAGAGGGTCACCCGCAGGCCCCCGGCCAGGGGGAATTGGGAGCGCTGGTGCATTACCTGCCCGGTGGCAGGGTCACTCTGCGCCGAATGCCCAGCCTCTCCAGCGGCGGCAGCATCGACGTCCCAGCAGCTCCTCCTCCGTACTCCTCCTCCTCCTCCTCCACCGCTCCCACCTGCCACGGGCTGCCCATCCTGTACCACCACACCACCTCCTCCTACATCCTGCAGATGGACGCCCTGCCCCCTCCCGACGTCACCTCGAGCACGCACAGCCAGGCGGAGAGCTTGGGGTACCGTCCTGCCCGCTCGGCCTGGGCACCTGCCCCCTCCTCTAACCTCTGGCTTGCTGCTGGCAGCCGCTGCACGGGGTGTGGTGCCTGCTGTGACGTCCCGTGAAGCCCACTAACTGCACCGTGAACTCTCTGGGCCCTGGGTCGGAGTGTGGCTGCGTTTGCTGTGTGCTCGAAGCGCTGGGTGGCTCCCGCCCACCGGTCTGTGTGGCCCGGCTTCCGCTGAGGCGGCTCGGCCACTCGCCTAGGCCGGCTGCCCGGGAGGACAGCAGCAGCGCTTAGACTTGTACGCCGCCCCACAGGGCTTCAGCGTACTCTCTGTACGACGGCGGCAGCGTTATTTGCATGCAGGTAGTCCTCGACTTACAGCGGTTCATTTAGTAACTGTTCAAAGTTGCAACGGTCCTGAAAAAGGGCACTCTTGACTGTTTTTCACATTTACAACTATTGCAGCATCCCCCGTGGTCACGTGATCAGAATTCAGATGCCTGGCAACCGACTCGTATTTACGACGGTCGCAGTGTCCCCCTGGGGGAGGGGTCACGTGATCCCCTTTTGCGACCTTTTGACAAGCAGACTCAATGGGGGAGCCAGATTCGATTAACGACCGTGTTACCAACTTAACCGCTGCAATGATTCTTTTAACAACGGTGGCAAGAAAGTGGGGCATAACCCACTTAACAACCGTCTTGCTTAGCAACAGGAATTTTAGGCTCCACTGTAGTCGTAAGTCGAGGACTACCTGCATTGCCCCCAACAATCTGGGTCTTCATTTTACTGACCTGGGAAGGACGGAAGGCGGAGTCAATCTTGAGCTCAGTCAGGCTCAAACTCCCGGCTATGGTCAGAGCCAGCCTGCAATGCTGCATTTTAACCACTAGGAGGAGCCCCTCTGGCCCCTGGAGGGCAGGATGAAGCCAGGAGCGCTTTGATGCGCCCGGGAGGACCGAGGCCTGTTTCCGGGCACAACCCCCACCCCCCACCCCGAGCCTTGGCTCCCCTCTGCTGGGGAGGGGCAAGAGGCCCTTCCGGAGCATCTCTAGTAGCCCATCACGTTGGACCCCGAGGGGGCTGCAAATGGCTGCAGCGTTCCCTGTCCTCGGTCTGCAGGCAGATGCACTGCAGCCTGGGCTGTACCCCCCCCTCCGGAAGAGGGAAACACCCCTCCCGTCCAGAGACTCTTCCCCCCCCCCAGGACTTTCGTGGTGGGATTCTTTTGCAGGGTCTGGAAGAATTGTGGGACCCCCCCTCCCATGCCACCTGCCCTCCCCATCCCCACCCACCTGCCTCTGCGCATCAGCCTACGGGGGGGGGTCTTTGAGGGTGCCATGGGGGAAGCTGCTTGCAGACCCAGAGGCAGTCCAGCGCTCACACTAGGAAGGAACTGGGGAGGGGGGGCGTTGGAAGGCAGCCGCTTCCAGGTGCCACCGCATGCGAGGGCGTGGGTTGGGGTCCTTCCAGACCCACAGACTTACCTCTTCTCATCTGCCTCCCCTCCCTCCAGGGACCTGGTCCACTCGGATTCGGACTCCTCCATCCCGCACCTGAGTGACCACCCGCGGGCGGCCATTTCCATGCCCAAGTTGCGTCCCGGCCTGCTGAACAAGTCGGCCGAGGAACAGCAGCTCCAAACGGAGTCCGGCGAGTCGGAGAGCCCGCTGACGATGAAGAAGGTGCCGGTGCTCAACCACCACGGGGGGCTGGAGAAGGCGGCCAGCCTGGGGGAGCTGGGCCCGGTGGGGGCCCGTTCGAGGGACTCCTCTCGGTCACACAGCCCCAGCTCCACCGAGCCCGACACCCCCTCGCCGCCTGCCAATGGCCGCACCGCACTCTCCCTCCTGTCCGGCAAGGCGAACAGCCGCATCCCACACCTGGCGGCCAAGAAGACGGGCGCGGCAGGTGAGGAGGACAGTGGCTCCACCGGCGAGGAGACCGACTCAGGCCCCGGGAAGAAGAAGTTCCCGCTTAAGATCTTCAAGAAGCCCCGGAAGTAGCTGGCGGACGGGGAAGGACCGGGCAAGCCGCCCTGTGCTGTCCTCCACCGGACCAGATTCGCCCCGTGGTGACAGAGAGACGCTCTTTGCTGGGGGGGCCTCCTGGGGCCAGAGTGCCCTGCTTGGCTGCGCATGGCTTGCACCCGCTGCCCCCCTTCTGCCCGCCGCTCTCCTCCGGGCGGCTGGAGCAGGGTCACCTCGACAGGCGCCCCTGGACCGCAGCCGCCCCTCTGGCGCAGAACCAAAGCTTTGCGGCCCTCCTGGCTGGTCGGTGCAGCCGGGTAGAGGATGGCGACGCTTCGGGCTCCTGGCTGCCTCCTGGACCAGCCAGAGTGGCCGTGCGGGAGCCCCTCGCGCTGGGTCTCAGGGCAAGGAGGAAGGCGGCCGTCCGGCCAGCAAGGCGGCTGCCAGGGGGCAGCTCTTTGGGCCAGCCAGCTGCTTTTCGTAAAACTGTTTTGAATCTAATAAAGCATGTAGACTATTTTAATAGGTTCAACCGTGTGGTGTCCTTCTGGGATGGCTGCGGGGACGGCCAGAAGCGCTGTTGCCCCCCCCTCCCAGGCCCAACCAAAAGATGGCCTTTCTTTCCTCTTAAGGGCCTGGGGGTGTTTTCCTAGGCAACAATCCTGCCTTCTTGGCCGGCGGAACTCTCCGCCACTGGCCAGAAGGTCCCGTGCCAAAGAGCCCAGATTCCCCGGCAGGGAGACCAGCCTGGGGACACAACATGCAGCACACGCAACGGCTCCTTGTCCTTCCCACGTAGGCACAACAGGTTTATTTGTCTGGTTTCCAGAAAGGTCTCTAAAAATGCTCGAGTTTGCGGTTCTCCCCACCACCCTTTGCAGAGGGCGATTCTTTGGAAAGCCCCCCATGTGTGAGGAGGAGGGAGGACACACTTGGCAAGATTGTGTAGTGTCTTCCTGTGCAGCCTCGGTGGGCGCCGGGAGCACCTGTAAGAAGACTCTCTAGAAAAACGATGTGTGTGTCTGTGTGTGTGTGTGGCTTTGTCCATCCAGGGGTCTCTGCCCAAAGGGTCCGTTGCCCATGTCCATTCCTGCCCCCGGTCTTTCTGTCACCCAGCTTTGGCCAGCAGGCAGATGTTGCCGCTTTGTCTGGGGCCGCGGCACAAGAGGCAGTGCAGGAGGCTGAGCCAGCCCAGGGCAGCACTGGAAACCTCCTGCCGGGGTGGAAAAGAGGCCGCCATGAATCGATTCCAAAGTGAGGCGCCAAGTGGAGGGCGTACAGGGAGTCCTCGACTTACGACCATTTGTAAATAACCGAGCAGCACTGAAAAAAGTGACTCACGTCCGTTTTTCACACTTAAAACAGTTGCTGTGTCCCTGTGGTCACGTGATGAAAATTCAGACACTTGGCAACAGGCATGTACTTAGGACGGTTGCGGTGTGATCCCCTTTTGCGACCTTCCGACCGGCAAAGTCCACGGGGAAGCCAGATCCACTTGTCAACCGTGCTCCTAACTTAACAACTGCAGTGATTCACTTAGCAACTGTGGCAAGAAAAATTGTAAAATGGGGCAAAACTCACTTTAACAACTGTCTTGCTTAGCAACCGGCATTTGGGGCTCGATCATAGTCGTAAGTTGAGGAGTTCCTATACTCTGGGCAGGGGAGGAGGACTGCCACAGGGCACAAAGCACCAAGGGCCTCTTTGATTTCGGAGAAAGGGCAGGCCCACCCCGGGAGGCTGCCGCAGTCGAGAGTCACTGCCTCATGGAGCAGCACAGCAACCGCCCTGGCCCAGCCCCCAGGCTTCTCTTGTGGGGGGCGGACATGGGGGCCCCAGCATCCTCAAGGCCGGCCCTCCCGGCCAGCAGCGGCAGCATCACTTCCGCAGCGTTGCTCTGACTGCAGGCCCCTCCAAAGGATGGCAAAGGTGGCTGGTCAGGTCCAGGTCGTAAGTGGACCGGCACAGATGCCTCCTCCTCCGTGGGCCCCACAGAATTAGGCCTCGCTGCGATCTGGCAGTTGCCAACTGCCCGTGAAGTCGCTGTCCGTCAAGTTCACGGTGTAGGGAACGTCGATGACCTGGTGGGACAGCTCACGGCCACTTGCAGAACGCCAGGAGTTCAGAGGTCGGATGGCTTTCCTGAACCGCTGCAACGACAGGACAGGAGACTTGCTCACTGGGCCAGATGCCCAACTGCCCACCTCCGCCATCGAGGGGATCGCCAGGAAAAGTCCCACGCGGATGTGCACCGGGGGATTTCAGGAGAGGCGAGAGGGCGTGGGCTCTCCACACAGCCCGGACAGTGTGTCTGCTTCCCGGAAGCTGGCCCCATCCCGCAACCCACTGGGTGCTCTCCCCGACTCACAGCAACCAGTGTCCCGGACTCCTTGCAGAGGGCAATGCCAGCCCAAAGCGGAATCTGAATGCAGCTCAGCACCCCCATGCAGACACCCAGCGCCTGGCCCCAGCGCGGGAACCGGTACGCTCCGTAGTGCAGTGTAGTGCCTGACAGGTCCATGAAGATGTAGAGGAGAATGAACTGTGAAGGGAGCAGAGAGGACAAGGATGGCAAAGGGGTAGGAGGACACCCCATTGCTGCCCAGAGTCTCCCCATAAGAGCTGTGGGGGCAGGAAGACCGCAAAGCCCACGCCTGGCCTACCATCAGCATGCCCGGCGTGAAGATCACCCAGCAGGCCTTGAAGTACGGCACCAGCTGCCTGCACCAGGGCGGGCACAGCCGGATCATGTCGACAATGTCTTGGCAAAACTGGTTCACGCCTGCCGGAAAGGAAATGGGTAGCGCACGGCTGTGGGGAAGCACCCTTGCCAGTCCGCCCCCCCTTGCTTCGGGTTTCTTTCACGCATCCCACACCGCCCCTCGGCCGGATGACAGCATGTTGCGCACAGCCACTGCCTGGTTTTCTGATCCAGGGCGAAAGAGGAAGCAATTGCCGTCTTTGGTTTTTTTTCTGAACCCAAGCTGTCCCAGTCCAGATTAATTTAGGAAACAGCCCGGCACTTTAAGGCCGCGTGGACTTCGACTCCCAGAATTCCCCAGCCAGCATGGGTGGCTGAGGAAGCATGGCTGGCTGAGGAATTCTGGGAGTTGAAGTCCACACATATTAAAGTTGTCAAGGTCGAGAAATACTGGACTAGGCGATCCTTCTGGTCTCCTCCAACTCTTTCATTCATGACTGGCTGGGGAATTCTGGGAGTTGAAGTCCACAGATTAGATGCTATGGCTGGGAAGCCTTGCCTTCAAGGCCCGATGCTTTGCATTTTAGTGAAAAAGGAGAGAGGGGGCAAACCTCTCGCCTTCCCAGCACTGTTGACGTTACCCAGCTGGATAATGAAATGTCTGCAACGTAGCTCAGAGAGCACCAATGGCTGCTTCCTCTTCCTCCTCCTCCTCCATCACTTCCTCCTAGCACTGACGATGTTCCCTAGTTGGGTCCTCTCACAGAGGGCAATAGACCCCATGATCCTTCTCCTC